TTTCTTCTTTTGGATTCTAGAGTCTAGAGAAACACACTCCTAGTTTTTAGCTGGATTCATGGTCACCTAAAATCACTTGTACCATGTAGTATGTACTATGTACTATACACTAAGATTAGATACACCATGTAACTAAGTTCTAGATGGTGGTATATAAGTGGAAATAGTGTTTATGCCTTTCAGGAAGTTTTCTTGAAAGGAAGGGATGCCTGCTTTTTTCTTCTTTCCTTCATCCTAGTAACAAGAATGCAGATATGATGGATAGAATTGGAGCAGCCATCTTGGACCAGGAGATGACAGTGAGGAAAAAAGCATACACAAAAGGTCCACGTGTAAAAGGATCCTGGGTTAATAACATGAAGAGTGCTACTAGCATTGACACATCCTTCAATCCCATATATCTAAGCAAAAGATGATCTAGCTGGCATCTTCACCCTACTATGCTGCCTCTTGGTGTTGTAGCCAAAGCAGCAATGTCAGAGCTGGGGAGGTAATTCAGTGCTGGAGCATACCTGAGGCCCTGGCTTTGACACCTTGATTCTCAGCACCAGGAAACAAAACAAGAGCACAAAATAAACAAACAAATAAAAAGGCTAGCTTTCTGAGTCAGATCATTTAAGGTTGAAATACTGGTTTCACCACTTACTAGCTATACTACAGTGGGCAAATTAACAAATAAAAAGGCTAGCTTTCAGAGTCAGGTCAGTTAAGGTTGAAATACTGGTTTCACCATTTACTAGCTATACTACAGAGGGCAAATTGTTTAACTTCTATGTTGTGATTATGTATTTCCGTGTAACAAAGTTGCCCCTGTGTTGTATACTCATAAGTTTTGAGGGTCAGAAATTTAGACAAGGGAAAACAGGGCAGTTCCTTCTGTTGGATAGCATCTCGGACCCTAGTTAAAAGACTAGAAGGCTGGTGGTAACTCAATAGTTAGAGGCTAAGGTGATCTGAAGCTTCATTCACTCACATGTCTGGCTGTTGCTACTGGTTCTCAGTGGAGGTGTCAACCAAGGTGTCTATGCGTGCTCTCTTCAAGTGGCCTGGGCTGCTTCTACATAGCAGTTTTATTTCAAAAGGGACTGTTCCAGGAGAGAACCAGGTGGAAAATGCATTACCTTTACTAACCTTGCCCCAGAATTCCACATCACTTCTGCCACGTTCTTTTCATGAGATAGACACGTAGGCCTACCCAGTTTCTAAGGGAGGGGAGACAAACTCCACCTCTTGACCACTGATGACTGACAAAGTTCTTGAAGTGCATATATGACTGGAAATATTATTGCAGCCAGTTTTAGAAAATAGAGTCTGCCAAATAGAGCCTCTAAAGCTGCTGGCTCCTCACTTGCAAATGAGGATAACTATATCTACCTCTCAAGCAGGAGTGACTTTAGAGATATTAAGCTATAGGTTCAGCATGGACACTGGCCAATTACCATGATCCCTGGCATCATCACTGGTACTAGCTATAATCACCGCTATTAGCACTTTAGTCTTAGATTAGAACAGTTCTGGGAAAGGAATGATAAGGATAGCATGGCTTGTGTGGTAGAAGGGGCTATCTCTCTGACTATACCAACCAGTAAAGAAAATTTTCAGTATTTTAAAATCTTTTTGTTGCATACTGAGTGTCAGCTTTGCTCATAGGACCATTTTGAGGATGAAATGAGATGTTTCATATAAAACTCTTCGCACAAAATAAATAGATCAAATAACAGATATTGTTATAGCTCTTTTTTGTAATTTTCTCTTCTAATATGAAGCATAGAAATTAAAAATCTTAATCACACAAGGCCTAATGTTTTAACAGGAGGGCAGGTTCCACCTCCCAAGAGCATGTACACCATGAGGCATCAAAAGCTTTTAACATAACAAGTAGATGGCGTTTCAATGGGTAGCTTATTCTTAAGAAATGTCTGGGTTTTATCCCTCTTACTGGAAATCCTGAGCCAATGAGGGTATTGGTTTGTATAAGTCTCGTCCAACTCTTATACAAGGCTAAAAATATTCCTAGATATTTTAGTACAAGTGGTCAGTAAATTAAAGTGATAACAGAATAGAAACAAAAGAGTATTACCCAGCTGTAATTTCAGAAGCGATTTCTGTGGCTTCATAGAGAAGTGTGCTTTGCACCACGGAACCTCATATCCTAAAATTAGACTAGGCCAAGTGGGACAGAGTCTAGGTCTATAGTTCCTCATAGGATAGGAAATTTCTTTAATAATGAAATTATGCTCACAGGGCCTGACTCACTAACACATTTCCTGGACATGAATGAACTCCCCAGGGCTGGGCTGGCAGATATCTGAATTCACTGGAAAAGGACTGAATTATGCTGCAGGATTTTCCACAATGTTGAGTAGCCTGTTTTCTGCCAAGCCACATTAGCTGGGAAAGGTCAAAGGGTTGGCTAATATTATAATTGTGACAGGTACCAAAGCTAACTTTAGCTTTGAGCTACTTTTCAATACTCTGGACTAGAATAAGAGGATTCTCCCTTCCTTGAAGTCTCTACTGTTCTTTCTGGAGTCTTTTGGAGTAGTGGAGTCTGTGGCTAAGGTAGGCTCCATCCCCTGACTCCTGCTGGAAGAACTGAACAGGAGATGCTACCACCAAGGTCTCCTCCCCCATCAATGAACCCTAAGGCTGCCTCTGTAGTAACATTTTTGCTGGGGAAGTTTACACTTCTGGACTAGGGGAGACAGGTGTTCCCCAGGTAGCATGGTAACTCCTGAATTAGCACAGAAAAGGGGTTGAATGCTCTCAATTCTAACTCCTCTTACCCAGGGGTTGGCACTAAATTCTCTTGGAACAAAGTTAGAGAGGGCGGGGGATTTAGCTCAGTGGTTCCGCTGCTGCCTGCCTCAAAAGCGCAAGGTCTGGAGTTCAACCTCCAATACACAAACAACAACAACAAAACAAAGCTGGGGGACAGCTTAGAGGCATCAAACTGGTGATTCCCAGAAATCTATCTCCTCACCAACCTTCACTTGCCTTTCAGTAAGAAGCCCAGTACCTTCTGTTTGTTCCTGCTCTAGTGTTCTCACTGAGAAGCCAAGGTTGGCTTTGCTCCCTAACTCTTGTTTTAAGAGTCTCTACTCCAAACGATCTTTTTTCCTCTCAGGTTTCTTTGCCTTTCCATGCAAATAGCTGGCCTCCTGGCAACTGTCTCACTGGAGACCACCATTTAAGAGGTAGAAACACAAATATGGGTCCTTCACTATAACTCGGAGACTTTTGTTCAATTCTGGTAATTGGAGGAAGAGGTATTCCAATTGGGCTCAAAACCAGACATTTATTGTGCAAGCAAATCTCATTAGCTCCTTCCTTAATGAAAGACCTTAACAAATTTAAATATGATACTTTACTTAGCTGCTTTTAAATGATAGCACATTTGCTCATTTTTACTCACCAAACATTTAGGAAGTACCTATTAAGATACAAAGCACTGAACTGTGGGACCCAGGGATAGAAAATATAATTCCAAGCAAAAGGGACTCACAATTTGGTGAGAGACTAACGAAGAGGATGTGGCCACTCTGCAAGGTTAGGGTGTGATGATGGGTGCACAGAGCAAGATTGCTCACTAGGCCTGGACTCTCAGCCTTTGGAAATGATCAGAAAATTCACATTTGCTGCCTTTTTAAGTGGTTAAGAAAAAGGTCCAGAAAATGGTCACTCATGCTTTCTCTGACTCCTCAAGCTAAGGATCCAGGATCAGGAGGGAATGTTGTGGACACAGTACACAAGTCTGAGAGGTTGCTCTCACAGTTCTACAGTGAGCCAGGTTAGACTAATAGGAAGGTAAACTTTGGAAGTGTTTCCCATCTAGCCCATTGATTCTGGAGATTCAACTGTCTGTATTTTAAAGGAGTTTTTCATTTCAAAGATTGAGGCTAGCATTACTCAAGCATTTTAAAACTGAGACCACAGTAAGAAACTCATTTTAAAATCATGATCCAGTAAATATGCACTGCACATCAAAAATTACTTCAACTGAAAAACTGTTTCTCAAAGCAATACTTAACTCATTCTACATAGAATGTACCCTATTTTCCCTCCCTCCCTATCCCCTTCCCTCCCATCCATTGTCCATCCTCCCTTCTTTTCTGCCTTGCCCCTTCCTCCTTCTCTTCCCTCTCCCCTTCTCTCCCTGTTTCTTTCCCTCTTTCTTTCTGTCTCTCTTCCTTCCTTCCTTCCTTCCTTCCTACCTTCCTTCGTCTCTCTCTCTCTCTCTCTTTTCTTTCTTTCATGTTGATTCCCACCTATTACATTGATTTAACAGATAACCTGACTTTTAAAAACAGTACTGGAATACTGAGCCAAAAGCCTTGAATTGCCAACCAACCGCTCCCAGTAGCTGAATAAGTTACAATCAGATGCTCTCTTCATATCTTCAGCCCTGCCCATCAAGTTCACATTCAAGGCAATTTGAGCTCAAAAGTCAAGGTTGGCTACAGCTGGGTCAGCAGAGCTCACAGGATCACTTTTCTGCCCTGCTCGACCCAATTGGGTAGGTTGATTTTTCTGTCTATGGTTGATGAGGCTTGCAGTGTTGATGAAGGCATGCTGATCATATAATATTTTTCTTCTATAATCCATAGAGATTTCTTGCACATAACAAGCCCAAACACTTGCGATTACAGTACTTTAAAATGTATTTGGAGCTATTTTAGGAAAATCCACATCAGAATCAATTCATGATCATAAAGAATACTCAGGTCATAGTTACTTTATTTCCATTTTTTGACAGATTCAGCAGTTGTTTGAAAAATCTGACACAACTTGGTATAATTGTGAGGTTAACAAGTTTTAAAGTAAGATTTGATGCTTTTGCTCATCTGTTAAGTGGAGATAATACAAGTCCTGCTTGCATGGGAGTGTTTAATGAGCCCGGCTGTAACATGCTTGGTGGCTCATGGTAGGCACACAATGGGAACTGTTATCATCTTGCATTACTCTAAACTCATTTTTTAACCAATCTTGCTCAGGTCAACAGTCTCTGTGCATGGTTCTAGAGACTCATCTCTGCTGACCATAGATGCTTGACGTGGTGACACTTCCTTGTCGAGATCCTTCTCAGTTCCTCCTCCAGGCTACCTTCCTTCATTTGTTGAGTGACTAGAGAAAACTTTACATTAACAAGGAAGAGAAAGTCTCCAGTGCTCTTCAAGAGGACCTGTAAGCATATGTACCAGGTTTAAACTTTTCATAAATAACTTTATTTGAATTTTCTTGATATTCTCCATCCCATAGAATTGCCCCTGTGTAAGAGATACTGAGAGAAGACTCTCAAATCTGCCTGAATTTGGATTAAAAAGTGATAATGATCTGTGATTTCAGGAGGGGCAGAATGAGAAGAAAGGATAGCCTTATGGATATAAGAAATCTACAAAGTATTTTTTTTAAAACAACCATTTATTGTGCACCCATTGTTTGCATTCCCTGAGTCTAAAAACTATAGACACAGAGATCCAGGGTCTGACAAGTTAAGTGGGATAACTCAAATATCTTTTCTTTTTTAAATCAAGATATTTTATGTTTTTCCAAAAAGCTTTTCATCAGAAAGCAAGAAGACTTATTTAAGGACAACTGATGCCTTAATTACAGTACAATAGTGGTGCCCCTTGGACCTTCCACTGCTTAAAACAAAGGATTTGTTACACAACTCAGCTAGGCAGACCCAGCTCTCATGTACTAGATGGAAATGAAATTCCCACCCTTTGAAAGGGCAACAAGTAAGGTACCTGATGAAAATTTCACACCAAACTTTTAAACCTTAGTCACTCACTGTGCCAAAGAAATTTTGTTTAAATCAAAGCAGATGGAAGTATGATAGGCTAGATAAGCACAATTACAAAAAATAATTAGAGTGAAGTCCAGAATATCAGTGAAAGTGTTAAGGCATGAGAGCCAAGGGAAAGAATACCATGGTTGCTGTTTTCCTTAGTGCCCTAAAAATGTTATTTTGTTTAATGTTTAATCCACAGCTGGAAAGAATAAGGAAAAGAGGAAAGATGAATGAGGAATGAGTACTTTCCAGTTTATGTAATGAGCATCAGACAGTGGGACTGGATAACTGTGAGCTGCTTGAAGGTAAGCTCATTGTCTCATTCATCTTTTCATCCTTAGAGTCTGATCCAGGATCTGCCAGGTAGAATTCAAATTAGCAAGCCTGTATTAAGTGTGTATTATGTGCCAGCAATCAGAGTGAGGAATAAAAATATGAGTAAGACCAGGACCCTGCCTTAAATGTACTCCTGGTCTAATAAGAAAAAAAGGTATAGGAGAAGATAAATGTAATGTGACCAATTCCACGAGCACTGATTTACAAAGGCAGTTGCCCTGAGGAGATGATATACTGGGCTGGCTCTGGAAAAAAGAAGGTAAAAAAGGGTTTTTTGGAAAAAAAAATGTGTGCACATCTGATTCATTGAAAGAGATCAATGTATATTTGTTGAATAAAGAAGCCATGGTTAAAGAACATAGGCAAGGAGAAGTGTGAGCTTTCAGGCGTCTGGGTATGCAGCCTCACCTGCTGATCTGCAGTCAGGAGAGAAGTGCTTTGTCCTTTGCTGTAGGTTTTGCACAGTGGATGCACTAGTCTTGGCTTAAGATGTATTATTGCTGCAGGTAGATTATTTCCTCTCCATGTACACCATCCTGGTAGAGAACTAGTCAGATACTGTGGTTAGTGCAACAACAGAGAAACATCAAAGGAACCACAAAATACAAGATGTTTGAGCCCAGCAAAAGGATTGTCTTGATAACAATACAAAACCTCTATTATAGAAGTTGAATAGTGCTATGTGCATTGAGTATTTATCTTATATAGAACTCTATGTATTTATTTATAGGAGCACTACAAAACTTCTTATTGTGCGCCATCATTCCCAAGGTGAATTGTTTCCATAGTTGAGGAATTATCCACACTTAAAGGTAGAGTGTCCCAGGCAAGGATGAGTATTAATGTAGCCAGGCTCCTGTGCATGGCTACACATTGCTTTTTTTCTGTTACCATGTATGTAAACTTACTTTCTTCCCTTAGGAGGTGGTCAGGTGAGCAGAGTTCTAGACCAGCAGCAGAAAAACGGTAGGTGGAATCTCTCATGCATCCTGTCTTCCTGTAGCTTAAAGGACTTGGTGGGCTTGGGTTTCAGGGTCTTCCTAGGAGTGTTTACCCTCATCTGCTGACCACATTTGCACCCTGGTGCTTAGCTGAAATCCTCACCCCATTGGTAATAATAGACTTAAATTTTTAAGCCCTCTCAGAGTACTTGCCTATACATTATTTCATTTGAAACTGATAGTGTCCCTTGTTCTATGCTTTATTTTTACAGATGAGACCAATGAAGCCCAGATCTCCAGAATATAAAAGGCTTCTAGCTGCAATAGCATGTTAGATTTGGCTAGGAAGCCAGTGTTCCTCTCTTCAGAGGGAGAGACATGTGCCTATCAGCATGGAAATGAGCTACTTTTTTTTTCCATAAAGAAAATAGAATTCACTTTTCCACAAGAGTCATAGAATCAAAACGCTTGAGCAAGGTTTTTTTTTTCTTTCTGGTACCAGGGATTGAACTCAGGACCTTGCACTTGAAAGGCAGGTTCTGGAACCACTGAGCTAAATCTCTGGCCCTTGAGCAAGTTTTACGTGCACAAATATCCCCATAACATAAAGAAATGAGGCTAATTAAACAAGCAAATATGTCTGTTGATAGTTATATGGACCCTAATATAGAGTTGGTCACAGAACATATTTTTGAAGAAAAATTCCAATTCCTAACGTTTAAAAATTGCACAGCTGATTATATAGAACATATATAGCTGTTTATTTCTTTGCAAGGATATCACTTCAATAAAATAGTTTGTTAAATATAACACTAAATGTGACTCATAAGTCAAAAAATGATTTGTCATTGGACTTTGTGACCTAATTTGTAGTTTAGAAAAATGTAATCATCATACACACACGAGCGTGTGTATACACATGCACACACACAAAAGGAAACAAAATCAGTTTTTCAAATTAGAATATCCTAAGGGAAGATTGGCCAAAAAATGACTTTGTAGGGGACCAGATTGGTACAAGGCAGGGCTGTATCTGCAGAATATGGCAGAAAGAATATAGCAGAGCCCAGATAATGGACAACTCATGTTCTCCAGTTAGACCAGGACCCTGAAAATCCAGCATGATGCAGAGCCATTAGGACTCTGGCCAGAGCTCCTTTTCCTGCTTGTCCTTTCCAAGGTATATAGCTTCCAGTGTTGAGACTCAGAGATGTAAGATGGTAGAGATCATGGCTGTCAAAACAGCAAGGGCACCAGGATGGGAAGGTAAACAGATCTCCACAAGAAGAACATTTGCCCATCATGCTGAAAATCCCCAGGCTTTTGTTTTGTTTTGCTTCTTATTAATCCTTAGAATTTAAAACTTGTGCTTAATCTTTTAAACAAATTCTTAAACTTGTTAGAATTAAGTGTGTTTTAAAAATAAATTGGCTCTGACTAAGGATATAAGGGTCACTACAAGGAGGATGGTATATTGATTTCAAAGCAAAAACCATGAAATGTTTCTTTTGGCCATTCTGAGATATGATATTATTATAAATAATTTTGAATTCATATAGGGCAGAAGAAATATGAAAAACTTTAGATTCTTTTGGTTCTAATGGTTTTTGCATTATCTTGGTATTCATAGATGGCAGGAGGGTGCAGGAACCCTGAGACACAGCTATGTTTGATATTATCTGGCACTTAAGCTTCTACAGTACATGCCCTTTAGAATAAAGCTACTGCATGAAAAATGTACTGATATTGAAAATTGTGAGTACTCAATCTTATTTGAATCAGGTTTGGGGCCAGAAAACAACACAAAAATATGCCCCCAAACCCTGTATTTTTTGAGATCCAACCAAACAATTGAGATCTTTGGTGTATGACTCCAGCAATCCTCTCCTGTGATGATCTTTTGAGGACTCCATGAAAATTTGAGTGCACAGGAGGAAACCTCTCTGTCATGATTTGGAGAAAAATATGCCTCATTATAAAAATAGTTTAAAAAATTTTGAGTAGCTTTGGCTCAAAAGATATGACTAGCTAAAGCAAAATGAGTAAATGATATTGGAGAGGTAAAGGAACTGGGTCAGAATTTCCCAAACTAAGTTCCTCTGCATAACAGTGCTCCAAGAGATACTAATTCGTGGTCAGTGAAAAGTAAGAGAAGATCTCTGGGGCAGATTTTGAGCAAGTTTTCACTCTCTTGGAGATTTTTAATGGACACCGGCACATTAAACTTTCTGAGAAGTGCTGCTGATTTGTATTTAATTAATTAATTCAGACAGTAGTACTTATTATATCCCTATTTTGTGTCAAACACTGTTATAGGCACTGGAATAGTAATAAACCCAGCATTTTTCACTGCTGATTATGAAATAGTGATGTTGTTGTTGAGACAAGTTCTCACTATGTTGCCTAGGCTGGTCTTCAACTTGTGGTTTTAAGCCACAGCTTGCTGGGACTATAGGCATGTGCTACCACACTTGGGCGAAATTCTGATTTTTGTGTAATATACTAACATGATTTGTGGGAGCTATTGGCCTGGTCTTCTTGATCTTATGTCAGCATTCTGATGGAAGTGCTTATGAGTTTCTCCTTCCAGAGAAGAGGAGCCTTCTTCAGGGAGCTGAGCTATAGTAGCTGAAGGATAATTTGGGATGGGATTTACCCCTTGGCCATAAAATATGAAAACCAAGATGACACAGCACATGAACTAAGCTTTAAGCAAAAGAAATAAAACCATCAGCTCAGGACCACTGAGTCACTCTGCAAAGGCTGCGTGGAGACTTATAGATTGGAGGAATAGAATGGCTTCTTAGGAAATCAGACAAGAGTGATAGGGTTTGATTTCAAGGATTATGGGCAAGAAGCCAAGAAAGTTCTCTTAAATCCGTGAAGCCTATTTATCGACATTTTAACAGGGCGGTCTTTGGCCATGCTACTGAAGGAACTTTTTATTTTTATTTTTTATTAGTATATATTTACAATACACATTAAATAATTTCTTGTGGGGGATTGGTATCTATACATATTACATCAGGACAGAAGTGATAGCTAAGATAAATATCTACTCAATATGAAATCCTATATTTTAGTAATGCCCTCATATTCTCTTCCAGTGATCAATAGTCATATGGCAGACATGATTTTTGATGGTGTTGAAGCACAAACCTCAGGAGTCTCCAAGCAGCTTTTGGAGTAGAGAATAGTAGTTGGGAGAAAAGAGGATACACAATGGGTTAGAGGACTGAGTGACTGGTTAAGTGCATTTTCTCATTTTTCCCCTGTGGATTTGAAAAGATGTTGCTCACCATCTTTCATATAATTTTTTCTACATTTTCATGACTCTTATCAAGTGCTTTCCTCCCCAAAGCTCTGCCAGCTTCCATGGCCTTTTTCTTCTTTAACCTATTTCTCCAGAGAAATGAACTCAATTTCTTTATTTTTCCCACACAATGGTCAATTTCCCAGCCCATTTATCATTTTCATTGATCACAAGAGTCTCTTAGTTTATGAACTTATTTTTGGAAGCCAGCCTTCATCCATGCTGGCCGTGCAGGTGTCATTTGCATCAATAAACACTCTTCTCTGAGAGCTTGGAGCAAGGCACCCTTAAGCCTGGGTGCTTGAATTGTGGTGTTTGGAAAAGATAAGATGTGCTTCCATGGAATGATTTGTATTTTATGCAAGTAATAAGAGAAAAATTCTGAAATATCTTAGCTTCAATTATAAGGACCAGAGGATGGAAGGGAGGAGACATGAGAGGTTAATCTTTTTGTTTGTTTGTTTCTTTTTTGTTTTTGGTACCAGGGATCAAACTCGGGTCCTTGTACTTGTGAGGCAAGCAGTGGAACCACTGAGCTAAATCCCTGGCCCCTGAGAGGTTAATCTTTCACAAGTTACAGACCAAAAAGAACAAATGACCATTTTACATTCTTACATATTAAAACCTTAATTCAAATCTTATCATGTCCCTTATCATGTTTCGGTCCCACCCAGTGAAGAGGCAACAAATTGCTTTTCCTTGTGAACTACCCTCTCATACTAAAGCTATCCCTATTTTGTGTAATCCTCTATTTATACTTAATGTAGGTTCAGTGTAAGTAATTTGTGCCATCTTCCCCAAATGTTCATTATTACATATGCTGACGTTTTAGAGCTGGTGAACATTTTTCCAACTTCTCTCTAGCTTTGCTGCTAAGGTCTGCGGGAACTTGTCCTAGGGATGGTCCTTTCTTTCTGGATAGCATCTGTAATGGTTCAATAAAACTATTTATTCCAGTATTCTCTTAGTTTGTAGAGTTTTGGTCTAACACATCAGCAAAATAACTGCTTGTTTTTTGCCTGAGAAATTCTTGTTTGTACAATTCAAAATATAGTTAACATTTACATTATCAATTTTCATCAGCCTTTTCAAAGTGGCTTTTCAAAGGAAAGGATTAGTGAGAACTTCCAACACTACAGCCTCACTTCTTTCTGAAGCCCCTCTGCGGATGGAGAGCAAGACAGTGTGCTGGTGATGAATCAGCTGGTGTTTCTATCTTGTGTACAGACCTGTCTCCAGAACTACCCCCATCCTGAACAGCAAGAGGAAATTCCACTCCCCATGGCTCCATTCACAGATGCACAATTCACATTTGTGGGATTTTTAGTTTTCCTCTTTGTGAGGTAACCAGCTTTTCTTCCAACCTGTGTTGATGTCTCTTCCTTACTTTAGCTTCCAGAATGAGTGCCTGCTGAGTCTCCCTCTTAGTGAGGGCAGCATGGACTTCCTGGAGCAGTGTTCCTGTGGGCGAGAGTTTCTTTCACCATTATGATGAGTCTTTTGGGATTTTTAAACCATTAGATTTGAGGAATGAAATCCTACCAAAGTGCTTGGTTTGTGAAAGTAATGCTGTTTCTGGTGAAAAGGCTCAATGTTTTGGAGTTGCTGTTCACACTTGTTCTGACATCAAAAGAAAATGAAAGTTTCTGTTCACTCTTTTTCTGTGAAACACCCACTGCTCTGTTGAAATTTCCTCCTCAAAGGCCTGGCTTTGGTTCCCTCTGGTGTTCAGTCTAGCAAGTGAGCCAGACAGTCCCTGTGCCTGTGGAACTGTCTTGAGGGAGGTGATTCATCACTGCTGAGGGCCCTTAATAAACACATCCCAGTCAGGTAACTTACCAATTGCAGCCCAGGTCAATCCACATTTCCAGCTTACATTCATACCAAAGCTCTGTCTCTACAACCCCATGTGAGTGAAAGTGCCCCTCTGAGGAGGAGACATGGCCCCGAGGGCCAGCTCACTTGCACACTTGAATCACAGCCATGGTACAATGAAGGCTCCATCAGACACTTGCTTCCATGAAGTCCAAGGCTAACTTCTGCTGCCCCCAT